GGGGATCGGCTCCCGCCATGTTAAAAGCAATTCAGACGTGACCTGCGCGGTTGTGGTGCAGATGAGGCCTCCCAGGCAGTGCGGGGCATGGGAGGGCAGTGGGGAAAGGACTGGATCTCTGAACCCGCACAGTCGGTATTGCTCCATGAAATGGGCTGTTGTACCTGAGGGTGACACAAATGAATGTTTGAACGTGCTTGTTCTCCTCTAGATGACACACCTCTCTCTATTTTCTCTGGCCCGTTATTTTATTGTTGCTCTGCTTCTCCCTCTCTCTCCCTCTCTCCCTCCCTCTCCCTGTGCTTTGCACAAACAAAATCTTTGCTACGAGTCTGAAGAACTATTGCTTCTGTTCACACGTGACCAAACCTTGCTGGATTTCCCCAAAAGACAAGCAGGTGCCTACGCTAAAAATAAAAACAACAGAAAACACAACAACAGATCAGGCATATTTTTATATTATCATAAATGACTAAAGTTCAATTAAATAACTGATTAAAACTTCAGATGGCAAAGGAGTTCTACATGTTTCAGGGAAATACCTGAAGAAAAGGAAGGGGTAGCAAATCTTCAGAGGAGAACTTATTAATAGTTGTACAAAGACCTTGGTTGCATATAAATGTAAGGATGTGGGATGTCCTGCTGCTTGGGTTTTTAGTGGGGAAAATGATGCTGGATACAAAGGATCAGGACCGAGTTTGGGGCTATGAAGAGCCCCACTCACTTCATTCATTGACTTTTTATAAACCCTATAAGAAAGCACTTGTTCTTCTAAGAGCAGAAGTTTATTTCCAGTACCGGTTTTTACGTATCTTTTTTACTTTCAGGCAATTGAGGGAGCATCTTTGTGTTCCAAAAACTTCCCGAAAGGGTTCAGTTCAGCTGTAGACAGTTTTATGATTTTTTTTAATGAACTTTATCATGAACTGAATGAAAACTATTGTATGCACTTTTTCTGGGAACAGATTAGAGCTACTCCAGCAGGAAAACATTGTATTAATGTAAGAGATAATGTGAAGATATGAAAGGAATCTTTCTGGCTGCTGGGAAGCATGAAGGTATTTGGAAGTGTTGTATAGTGAATACATCATCAGCCAAATGCTTTGAATTCTGACTCTGCTGATGGCTTTGAGGAACCTAGATGCTGCCTTATGCATAAATGCAGAGGATGATACTGTCAGTGTGTTGTGGGTCTGTGTGTGCAGAGCTGGGTGTCTGGTTGCCAGCAGGAATCAGACTTCTTGCTGGAAGGTTTCAGTCTTCGTACCACTCAGAAGGGCTGCCTAGAAAGCTTCCCTGCAATGCATGTCCTGGGGTGGAGCATCTTCGTCCAGCTGGGCAGATGAACCCTGTTGTGTGTTGGAGCAAGCTGCAGTGTGACTCCATGTCCTGGCAGCTACAGGTATGAATGAAGGCAGGAAAAGGAGTTTTTCTGAAGTGAGGCAAGGCTTCATTCGGGAAGCTCAGTTTTCAGTGGAGAAAGTAGTTTTTGTGAAGTCTGAGTTTAATCGCTAATGATGCTTTTATTTATTGTTGAACTGAACTATTCAAATTTCCTGAACTGCAAAGGATTGATATCTTTATAGTTCATGATTTTTTTTCTTTCTAGAATGAAAAAGCTCAATCAAAAATAAGAGTTACAGTAGAATTAAATTTTCAAACTGCAGCTTCGAAGTGCAAAGTGTAAAAGGAGCATGGAGCGTTGTTTCATGCTGTTCTGCAGATGACTGCAAGTCATACCTGCTTTGTCAAGTCACAGTTTTCATATATTTTGTTTTTAATGGGAATGAGGGAGTCTCGCCGCTTCACTTGTGTAGAGAGTAGTCCAGATAAGTGGGAGTCATTCTGTTATTTCTAACACAGAAAATATGGTTACATTTAATCCCATTTATTATGAGAGGATTAGAATCCTGCTTCTGTGCAATGAGTGCTACGCTCTAATCCGAGCTCAGGTTGGGAAAAGGGAAATGGGGGTAATAATCTTTATTCTTGTAGAATACTCCTTGACAATAGAATGTGATCCATCATTGAAGATGCTGCTTCCCAAATCTATTATTTGAGGTAACAGGCAGTGGGGAGCTACCATTTCAGCATCCCTAGTTTTCCTGGGGTTTCTGTGAAACTAGTGGTTCTTTCTGTCATCAGCTTGGTGTGATGGTAAGGTCTGGTCCAGGTGCTCTCTGATGCTCCCTGTTGCTGATGTGGGTCGACCTCTCTAATGCCATGTGAAACTCCTGTTATCCTCACCCTAAAGTACTGTGCGTAAAGCCTCTGCCTCTCTTTACCTGTCAGGGAAGCTGTGCACAGTTCCTCCCTAGCTGGAGGGTCTTCCAACATGTTCAGCATCTGCCAGCTCTCAGCCACTCCTATGTAGATCTGCAGTTGATTTATGTACTTCTAATAAGTCCCATGTGCATACATTTCCTCCCTCTTCACATTTGCAGTTGAAATGCTTCAGCACCCTGTGTTTTCTAAGTTAATTCCATTGATGAGTGTGTCCAGCATGGAAAGAGTTGGGGAAATTGGGAGACTTGTTTCCTTTAGTTATCTCTAGTTTCGTCCTTTCAGGCAGGAGTAAGACTTGCTTAAGGTATTGAAGGACAGGGCAACGCTAAAAAAAACAAGCAACTTTTTGGCTAGTGGAGCTGTCTGAAAAGCTGGCAAAAAGCCCTGAAGGAGGATATCAAAACATCAACTACAGAGTTCTTAAATGCTTTGGTTTGTGCTCAGTGCTAAGATTGTTTTCACCTGACGGTCTCAGTACAAGTGACTGCAACATGAAAAACTCGGTTGCAAAAATGCAAAGCAGTAAACAGCAGTTATTGCTGAAACTTGAGATGCTGCATCTGTGCTGTGTCGCATACCAAAATAGCAGCACCATTCAGAATCCAGCCTTTCTCTTCATCTGCAAAACAGCCAGGTCCACCTTCACCGTCATCCCAACTTGGATTCTTTGTGTGGGTGAATGAGAGATCAAAGTAAAATTTCACCAAGCTAAAGATGCAATGAAGGTGAATGTTAACCATTCCCTTTCCATGGTTAATTCCTCAACTACTCTCAGGTACAGTGTAAAATGCCTGGTCTCTCTCTCCTACAGACAGACCTATGCATCAGCTCCTGCCACTCACAAAAACATACTGGATTAGATGCAAAACTAGTTGGAATTTGTTGCTGTGAATTTGCATTTGGTTTCATTGCACCATGCTGGTATTGATAGCTGGTCCTGCACTGAGCTCCCCTCTCCTCTTTCTAGCAATGGTTGTTTCTCAAGTTCTGATGAATTCCGTATTGTTTTATTTTTGCCCTATGCTTCAGCCACTCTGAACTGCCTTCTGCTGAAACCTGCATGTTTAACTACTGATTTCATGAGGAATGTAATAGTGCACACGGACAGTATAAATGTATTTCATCTCAACTCATTGGCCTACTTGCTTCCCCTCCTTGTTATGTAATACAGTGGTCTGACAGCTGCTGGTTTTCCAAGGAACATGTGGTTATCCTAAATTCTCTCTGTGCTTCCTTTAGTCACTTAACCTGAATTGTGAAGGTGTTTCTAAAATTCTGGGAGACGGACCAACTGTGTGCACACATATGGAAAGCAGACGTGAGTTGACATTTGGCTTTCCTGGCCCATGTAACCACTGCAACCCAAGCATGAAGATTTAAATGGGAAAGCAACTGTCTTCAACACAGCTGTTCCAGCTCCATTCATTTTGTATTTCATGAAGAAAGCACAACACGTACTTGCCTAGTATTGCTGTGATGACATCCAGTCACAGGCTGCTGATTGAGGCAGTGATGGTGCAAACACAAAATCACATGAGATATTGGTGGTTTGCTGTTAGATGTGACCTTGCCCACAAGACAAATGACCTCACAGGGGCGGTGTAGACACATCTCCTGACCTTGTGGTACTGCTCTTGGGTCTTTCCCCAGAGAGGATGCTTGTGCTGTACTTATGCTGTGTGTCCCACTGGTCTATCCAAGCCATGCACACACTGCATGAGGTGCCTTTGTACATGGAATCTACTCCACAGGTTCATAGCTGCTTTTAGGGGGTATTTTAAGTCTTCTTCAGTGTGCCATGTAGGTTAGATATTAGGAGCACGTTTTTCACACAGAGGGTGGTGATACTGAAACAGGTTGCCCAAGGAGGTTGTGGATGCCCCATCCCTGGAGGCATTCAAGGCTAGGCTGGATGTGGCTCTGGGCAGTCCGTTCTGGTGGTTGGCAACCCTGCAGCAGGGGGATTGAAACTAGATGATCACTGTGATCTTTTTCAACCCAGGCCATTCTATGAGTCTACGATTCTATGATTCTTCTCCTCCCAGCTTTTGGGAGGGAAGATGTGAACATCTTGTCTGAGGTAAGCAGCCTTGTGCAGAAGGAGGCAAAGGGGAGGACTGCATGGTGAGGAAGCGTTTTATGCACACAGTGTAGGGCACTCCTCACCACAGGATGGTCTTGACTTTGTGGCAGGTTGCACTTCATGGGAATGCAAAGGGCTGTTTGAGGTTACTTTCCTGGCTCTCCCGGTTACGCTAAGGCCATAACAGAATAAATTGGCCCAACTACACTGGTGGGGACCCAACGTTGGGAATGTGTAGATGCTAGCACAAGATACAGACAGGGGAAAGAAAGAAGGGAGAACCAGTTTGTGGGCTTGATATCAGGGGAGACAGAGGTAAAAATGAAATGCCAGAGGGAGGAAGATAACATAGGAAATTGGAAGGTATGAGAAGAAAGCAAAAGATGCTGAGGATTCAGATGTTGAGAAGAGTAGCAGGGAATGTAATTAGCAAGGCACATAAGGAAACTTAATGCAGGCACTAAGGTGTGAATGAGCAGGGAGGCCTGAGAAAGATCTAAGTGCAAGGTGCAGAAAAACCTTAAAACTCAAAGGAGGGTGAAAAGTATGAGCAAATATGAGCAAAAACTGTCTGAAGTTGTAATACTTTCCAAATCAGTGATAAGAAAGTCACAAACAAAGCAAAGCCAGTACAAGAATAATTTTATTTAATATTTTGGTAACACAATGATTCATCTCAGAATGACCATAAAAGTTATCTCACAGAACAAACTGCAGTGCTACTAACTGGGTGCTACTAAATTGGAGTAACTTTGGAGGATAAATGAGGCACTAATTGACCAACAGCTATATAATTTGTGACCCTGACAGATGTGAGCAGTGTGAGTGGAAGCTGCATTAGTAGCCAATGCATAGTTAACAGCTTTTGGAAGAGTACAAAACTGCAAAAGCTTTTTTTCATTAAAATAATAATCAGTGATCTTTGAGTTAGACTAACTATTCAGTTGTAGGTTATATCCTCTATATTTTTTTTAATAATGATACTCACAAAGGTACTAAGAAAACTGTCTTGCTACAAATTGATCTAATGTAGATCTCCATATGAAAATGCTGAATATCATATAAAGCTTTTCACAGGTATAGGCTAAGTTCTGGGATATCACAGACTTGTAATTCAGAAAAACACCTGAGGTTACTCCTTTTGCATGGAAAAGAGGTTTTTTTTAGCTTTGAAAAAAGAGGATCAATGCCATTTAAAATCAGAGATGTTCAACAGGTGTAACAGTACTACATGGGGGTATGGAACAGTACTTTTAGATTTGGTTCAGGTTATTAAAATCAGTAGTGAAGTTGCTACTTGAGAAGGCCAGGATGGTGCCACTAAGCGAGCTCTTACCTCTGTCAGCATGAGTACTGTCACTGCTGCCAACAGGATGAAGACTGGCCATCTACAAGATGCACATCTGTACTTGCTAGGGTCTCAGCAGAGCTACTTTATATTTTAGCCCTTATTTTTCTAGAAGGTCTACTAAAACCTTCTTTTGTCCTAGACTTGATCACAGTAAGTCTTCTGAGATGCTCTCATTTCTGATAGATCTTGTATGTAACTGAAGGCCATCTGTATCTCCTAGGAAATATCCAACACTTCTCAAAATCAGGCATTTAGATGTGACAGTTCGTTCCTTAGAGAAATACATGCTGCTTTGTGTGCACAAACATTAGCCAGAAGTTTAAGGCTCTAAAGTATCAAGTTTATGTTTTACTTCAAAATAGTAGTGATTTTTTTTTGACTTGATGTCTTTTGCCTCAAGAAAAAGCTGGAAGGTGTTGTTTTTTGGTTTTTTTTGCTCAATTTAGTTTACTCAGTTATTTGGGACACAACATGTTAGCTTTCTTTCTGAGGCTTCGTTTCAAGCAAATCATGCTAAAAGTATACTATTAATTTAGGATAATAGCATTAAACTTGAGCTAACAGACTGAGCAGTGGGCCAGGCTGTATGTGCTGTGTGCATTACTTGAGGCTTGCGATATGAGGGTTTCAATACAGAACCTCAAATTCTTATTTCTACATACCTTGGCACACGTGAATCTGTAACAGACTTACCCACGTGCTGAAGAACAGGTCGGTTACTCTTTTCTAGAAAGACACAAAGTTCAACTTTTCCTTTACAACAGCTTTCTAATTCAAATATCTATGTTATTCGTACTAATGAATATATTAGCACATGGATTATATCATGCTTACCACTTGATGATGTATCAAATCTGATCTTTCTTTTCAAGCTTCAATGACAAGTTACTGTATTAGGACATTCTGTTCGTTCTCACATAAAATACGAACGGTATTTTAAAATGATGTGCTCATAAGCAAGTAATTTTTTAGCCATTTATGTAAACACTTTGGAAAGCTAAAGGCAAGATTTTACATTGGCATTTTACCAAAAATCATTTAAACATTTATTATCAAGGCATTAATACACATCCTAGCAGTCACAACACGGGACTTGCCATATGCTTACGGCAGGTTCCAGTAGAATGAATTCAGAGAGAGGCTGCAGCGTTCAAAGCATTGTCTTGTTTTTGTGTTCTGCCTTGTTTTGTTTTTATAAGGAATTTTACTTTGGGATGTGGAGTTACTGAAGGCAAACTTAGAGTTAAGGCAGAGTGCATGGAGACATGGCAAGGATTGCACGAGTTTCCAGAGATGCTCCAATCAGTCAGTAGAAAGTGTGCTTTACAATGGCAACTTTGTGAACATGCAAGAAAATGAAAGGCTTACTTTCAAACTGCATATGTTTTATCATTTAGTACATTAAATCATCCCCCTGGCTCTCCCTCTAGAATTAAAGAGGACTGAATTATGACTTGTGAAGTTTTCCTTCCTGCTCTTGTACCTTCAATGTTGGCTGTTTTCCAAAAAGATCAGCAAAACAAAGCAAACTATAACTTATGTAATTCTAAAAAGAGAGGAGCATCTTTCAAGGTGAGGCTCGGCGCTTAGGTGGTTGCCGACGGCTGATTTTCGTTGGCTGTTTTCTCTGCTTGCAGTCTTTGGACAGCCTTATCAAGCAAATCCATAGTATCTCTAAGTGTGACATTCAAGGTGAATGGCTTGGGTTTGATGGTCAACCCATAAGTGTAGTCCATTTTAGGATCCTCATTTGGATTAGCAGTGAAATGGCACTGATGCACGAGAATGGAAGTAAAGAGAAACAGCTGCACCTTGGATAATTCCTCTCCAATACACCGCCGTTTCCCCATTGAGAAAATCATCACACTACTGGTGAGATCTTTATTGATGAAGCCATTCTCATCCAGGAATCTCGTTGGATCGAAATCCTCTGGGTTGGACCATTTAGCTGGATCGTGATTCACCGACCACTGATTGACAAATATCACGGTGTCCTTGGGAATGAGGTAGCCCATGATGAAGGTGTTGGTCGTGGTGGCGTGAGGGATGGTAACAGGCACGAAGCTGCTGAAACGCATGGATTCGTACAGGAAAGCCATGATGTAGGGCAGGTGAGGCTGATCTTCAGCACAGGGCAGGCGGTCTCTCCCAACAATCCTGTCCACTTCTTCTTGCATTTTAGCCTGCACTTTTGGATACCTGTCATTTAAAGTAAGCACATGTACATGCGTAACGCTGTCAGAAGGTTCATTTTTTAAAACAACACATGCTGTAAACACTTCTCACAGAACCTCACCCCTCCTCTAAGTTGGGCAGTCTGAGCAAAGCTTAAATGCATTGCAGAAACACACAAATCTTGACAGAAAAATTTGAGGGAGGGATTCGAATTTTCTACACAATAGCATCATTTGGCTTTGCTCAGTTTTTCCCTTAATGTCACACGTAATCAATTTTAAATGTAAAAAGTGAAATAACATCCCGAATGTTCTGATCCAATTTTGAAAATCCATTCTATAGCAAAGATTACCTTTGTCCTCAATCTGGGGCTTTCTGTCAGAATGGGATCTTGGTGTTTTGTCTCTGCACGTGGCTTCTTTTAGCTAGCAGGGAATTCACCAATAGGTGTACGGCACACAGAGGGAACCGACCATTCCCTGCTCTGCTCGTAACTGTCACGACAGCTTTGGGAACATCCCGCTCAGGGTTTGTTTACGCTTCTACAATTACTATCAAAATGTTTTCTTTATAGTGTATTTTAAGACCACTGTCTTGCAGTGTGCCAGACCGTTCAGACTTTACGTTAAGCAAGCACGATCCAAATATTCGTGCATTTTCTCTTAGCCCTGCCTGGGCGCTTCTGGGGAGTTTTCCCCAGGTCACGCAATCCCGGCGCGGGCACACGTTACGGGCAGCAGCATAATAGCGGGCTTGTAACCCAGTGCACGAACTCTTTATCTCGCCTAAGCAGCCGTTATCCCGTTCCTATGATCTCCTTGATCTTGACCTGCTAAAATCCCTTGCTTTCGGGTTTTACTCCGCTGCCTTTTTGCCAGCCGCTCCTTATGCAATGTTACCAGAGCAGGTTTTCCTTTTTTTTTTTTTTTTCTTTTTAATTATTATTATTATTTTCTGGCGGGCTTCCCGGAGCCCCCGCGTTAACTAACAGCCCCCTTTTCCCCGCTGCGCCCCTTGCCCCCGTGCCCTGCCGCCGCTGCAGGAGCGGAGCGCCCACCTGATAAGGAAGATGAGGAGCCAGAGCAGCGCGGTGGAGAGCGTGTCCTGGCTGGCGCCGAAGATGTCGGTGACGGTGGCGGGCACGTGCTCGAGCTGCAGCCGCGGCTGCTCGCGCTGCAGGCGGATGAAGGCGTCCATCATGTCGCGGGGGGCCGCCCCCGGGCGCAGGCTGCGCTGGTGCTGCAGGAACTTGCCGCGGACGAAGCCGTAGAAGTCGCGGTTGAGGTCGCGGAAGGCGCGGTAGGCGGCGCGCACGGGGCTGGGGAAGCGCTGCAGCCAGGGCAGCGCGTCCACCAGGCTGCCGGCGCCCACGGCGCGCCCGAACTGCTCGTTGCGGCCCACCAGGCGCAGGAACTCGCCGTCGCCGTGGCTGTAGCGGCGGCCGAAGCAGAGCGCGCTCATCACGTTGGCCACCGCCACCACCAGCACGCGCGACGGGTCGAGGAAGGCGCCGCCCGCGCTGCCCCGCACCAGCAGCGCCACCAGCGCCCGCGCCTCGCCCAGCAGGTGCCGCTCCAGCAGGCGGCGCGTGGCCGGGCTGCCGGTGGAGAAGGCGCGCACCGTGGCGTGCGCCGCGCGGCGGTGCAGCTTCCAGAGCTCCGAGTAGCCGCCGAAGGCCAGGCTGCGCCCGCCCGACACCAGGCGGAACGAGGGGAAGGCCGGCCGGCCGGCGAAGGCGGCCCCCTGGCGGACGAGCGCCTGGCGGATGGCGCTCTCGCCGTTCAGCACCACCACGGGCCAGCGCCCCAGGCGCAGCTGGAACACGGCGCCGTACGTGCTGGCCAGGCGCGCGAAGGAGAGGTGCGGGGCGCTGCCCAGCTGCGCCGCGTTCCCGATCAGCGGCCACGGGAAGGGGCCCGGCGGCGCCCGGCGCTCGCCCAGCCGCCGCCGACGCCGCCGCTGCAGGAGGAGCTTGCCCAGGTGCACGGCGGCGAGCAGGCACAGGAGGAGCAGCAGGGAGCTCTGCAGGGGCGGGGTGCCGCGCAGGGCTTCCCCGAGCCTCTCGAGGGCCATGCTGCGAGGAAAAGGAAAAAGGGGACGGTCGGCGGGCGACGTCCCCCGGGCGGGCGAGGGCGCAGCGCCCGACCCGCTCCCGTGTGCGAACCGGGAGCCGATCGATAGGCGTGGGACGGTAGCCGCACTTAGCGGCTGAGCCGCCGCTCTGCCCCCCGGCAGGGCAGGTTCGCGGCGGCGGATGCGGCTGAAGAAGGCGCGAGAGGAGGCGGGAGGGATGCTCCCGCCCGCCCCGCTGCCCGCAGCCGGCTTCGTCCCGGGCGGAGCAGCGGGATGCCGCGCTCCCGGGGGCGGCTGTCGGCACCGTTGCCGCTGCTTGCTGCCGCCCGGTTGAGGCAGGGAGGGAAGGGAGGAGGGAAACGAGCGGCGGTTCCGTGAACTGACCTGTTGCACGCGGCTTCCATCGGAGGTCTTCGGGACGATGGAGCGGAGCCGGGCAGCGGTGGCTGTGACGGGCGGGGAGCGCGGCGGCGTTGGCGTTCAGATCCCGGGCTCTGGGAAACTCATCAGAAGCGCCCGCTCCCGTCACCCGGAGCTCGGCCCGTCGTGCGCAGGCGGACGCCGGTGGCACTCGCTCCCAGCCTGGAGCCGCTGTCACCTTCCCGGGGCTTCAGCCCCTCGGAGCCTCGCCCTGCCCGCGACCACCTGCCCGGCGCTGCCGCCTGCGGGCCGGTGGCAGGGCGGGTGCGAGCGGTTCAGGGGGTGACGGGGGCACCGAGGCTGAGCCGGAGCGGCAGCGGCCGCGCCTGGGCTCCTGGCATCGCCGCTCGCGCCTTTAAACCCGCGGCATCCGCGGTGCGCGGCGCGGTGCGGGCGTGCCGCAGGCGGCCCCGCTGACAAATCGCCGCTGCCCGGCCCTTCCCCTGGCTCGAGGGGTCGCCGCTATTTGCCAGCTGCCCTTGGGGCCTCGCCAAGCTGAGCGGCTGAGCCGCGGATGCTTTTATGGCCCGGACCCAAAGTTTCGGCGTCGGAGCCTCAGGGAGGGAAGCGGGGTGGCGGGCGGGCTCGCCGCCCCCTGTGTCAGGAGGCAACGTCTCGCCTGCATCTTGGGGGCTGAGGGAGCTGGAGAGCTTCCCCTCCTCCGCCTGTCGCCTCCCCGTTGCGTGCGGAGTTTGCATTGCGTGAGCCGGGGCTGGAAAGCCTCCAGCCATCTCCTCCCCGGGCCCCTACCCCTCCTCGCAATACCTGACACCGGCTCGGGGGGAAGGCGGCTGGGAAGCGCCGGGCGGCCCGCACCCGGGCAGTCCCGCTGCCCTCCGGCCTCTCCCCCGCTGCTCGCCCTTCTTTCCCTCCCGCTCCAGGCGCTTTCTTGCTCTGAAAGCCGCCCCGGGAGGATGCCGCGCTCCGAGCCCGCCGGGTTCCCGGCGTCCCAGAGAGGGAACCGGGGCCGCATCCCCACCCGCCCCTGAGTAAAAGAAACCCTTCCCCAGGAGGTCGGAAAGACCGTGATTTGTCGTTTTACCGAGCAAGACTAAAAACTAAAACTCTTTCAGATGTTATACAGTCACATCGTGAGAAAGAAAAAAGGTGTTTGGTAGCATTTAGGGATTAGGCAAAATTAGATGCTGGGAGTCAGCCCAGCCCAGAGCACGATCCCAGGCCTGGCCGGGGTTCTGCTGCTTCTGACTTTGCTAAGTGCAACCCTTTCTGCTGTCACTGTCTCAAGCTCCAGGGAAGTAATACTACAAGCCAAACCAGCATCAGCCACTTTTCTCTGCACGTCTCCAAACTCCTGTCTGTCTGCCCCAGTACATGTTGTGCTTCTTCCTGCCACTGCCAAGGGGCACTGACAGGGGTGTCAGAATGTTTTCCCAGCAGTGCCAGAAGAAGCCAACTTCCTTCCTCCCAGCCCCATCTCTGGGTGAACTGAAGGATGCTACAAGCCAGCCCCACACATGGTTCAGCTTCAAAAAGCAGCAACAGACAGCTCTGTCCCTACAGCACGAGAGTTGGGACGAGCTTGGAGAGACACCTCGGGCTTTGATCTCCCCCATGGCACCTGTTTTCCCACAGTGTAACTGCTCAGCAGTGGTAAAGTGGCCTGTCCCACCCTGACGGCCACCCCTCCTGCCTTCATCAGTCGTGTGTTGGAGAACGCAGGGCTTCTCCCTGCAGGCTGCTCTGGGTGCTGCAGCAGGCAGTAAGGACTTAGCTTGGAGCAGTTACCAGAGTTCTGGATTATAGTGTTGGGCAGTTGCCATTGCCAGAAGGCAAACTTGCCTTTTCCTGGTAACTGTGAGAGTCAGTTACCTAAAATTCAGGCATTACAGCTTTTTGTAGAAAGTCCCCAAATCTTTTCTTGGAGGCATCACTCAAACTAGCTGTGTTGCTCTCACAGTTAGAGATTGCCATTTACTCTGGAGCAAACAGAAGAGATTCCATTCCAGCTCCCATGTAAATACTCTGTCATGATAGTACCCTGATGGCCCTGTGCTGTACTAACAGGGTGTTTGCAGTCTCAGGCTACTACCCCATTTCAGCCAGAGCATTATGATGGCTATATGAAATAAATGTTCACCCAGTTTTCTAGGCTCTGATTCTATATGCCCTTGATTGGTTCCTTGATTAGTCAAGCACAGCTTGAATAAAACATCACACCAGTATATTAGGGTAGTGCAAAAAAGCAGGCAGGGGATGATTGGGCCCTTGGTCTCAGTTATATTCCATGAATTGCCCTCCTGCCTACCACTTTATTCACTCATAGCTTTTCTTCTTGTGTCTGTAGAAGCGTAGAAATTCAGAATCACCCCAATATAACGCATGTTTCTTTTCTCCTAATTCTGATGACTTAATGCTGATACGGGTCCTAATGAAGATAGCCCCAGATTTCTGAGGTTAAGTTAGTTTAGTTCAGGGATCCAAGACTGAATCGCTGAAAATGTACACTGCCTAAAGTGAATTATTTCTGAGCCCCTACTTCATGTAGGGTACGGAAGAGGAAAAGAGTTGAAGGGGCAGAAGTGGGTGGGTTTGGGATTAAGGGAAAGGAATTCAGGCTTAATCTGTTAAAAATCCTGATTGATTTGACAGGAATGCCAGACAGAGGGGCTGGCAGAGTCTGTGGGGACATCAGTACCTCTGCAGCTCCAATTGGAGGTGCTTTTTGTAGGCAGACATAGGCCCTTGTTCTGGAGATGAAAGTTTAGTAAAGGGAGAATAAGTGCAAAATCTGGAGAGTCTTCATTTGTTTTTTGAGAGGAAATTCTTAGCTCTCTGCCACAGTCCTCCCTTTTTCAAGAGACCCCCTTAATGGGGTTTTTGCACGTGTTAAGAGCTATGTACCTAAATAAGGGTTTGCAGACTCAGTTCTCAGTTTTTCTTCTGTGACAGCCATTGGCTGCTTTTTTGGGTACTGGCAAGGTCAGCTAGGATCCGCTGCACATAAATCCTCTTGAGCAGCAACTGGAGTTTCTCAAGGACTTGTCTCATTCGCTTTCCCTACCTTTTGCTTTTGCAGCTTGCCATGGAGAACCCACCTATACGGGGTTCCTTTGGCTCTTTCCCATACCTGGATGCTCACTCTTCATTTTATTAATTCCTGAGGCGGATTATACAATGGTTGAGCAATGCTTTATCCCGAGATTGCTTCAGTACAGAGCTTGTACAAATTGTTTACAGTTTATAGAGCGATCCAACCCATTTTTCATTAAACAATCCCTTGGAAATATTGTTTCCGATTGTCTGTTCCTGAATGTTGCACAATACTCTATAAGATGAAGAAACAAATAGCGTCACTGTAAAGCACAAAGTGCTTGGAAATGTAAATGCAACATCCTATTGGTTCAGGCTGCTTCAAGTTTTCCAGGCATTCGTAGCTACCTCTTGAGCTTGATTCTAATCTCAATAAACTATTGGACATCAGAAAAATTGCCATTAAACCATGTATGCTTCTGCTCTTACAGCAGTCTGCTCCAATGATGTCTGTACAGCATTCAGCACGATGAGGAGTTACTGCTGTGCTTCAGGTAGATTCTGCAGCAGCTGCTTCATCTTGGGGCAGCCAGAGCTGACATCTGTGCTTGCTGCTGTGCACCATGGAGATGTACCTGCTTGCTCAGGACTGTTGGCATGGCACTGAATTACTCAGTGATACTACTGCCCTTAGATGGGGTTACCACCATGTGGAAGACAGTGAGACTGTTCTGATGCACGTTCCTGCTGTTCCTCATTCTGGCAGCTTTCCCATGATACCAGGCACAACATGCTGGCAAAATACAGGTAGCCGTGTCCTCAGCGCTGCTCAGTGTCAGACACACACAGGAGCCAGCTGCAGCTCTGTGATTCAGGGATATTCATGTACTTACTTTGGCCTAAATTAAAGCATTTTTTGCGTGCTTTTTAAAGTATACGTATTTGTGGTTACATATCACATTCTTTACCTCCATTAATTTGCAGCTTTCTTTGGATTTTCACTCTGCCCTGCATTCCCACCGACTTCCCAGCTCCCATTTTCAGCTCTCCTTGGCTATTGTAAAGCCTAAGTCGGACTCCTAGCCCCAAGCCAAGTTCCCACAGCTGCCAAAGGAAGGGAAGGAACCTCCCAGTACTCATCTCAGTGCCGGTCTGGTTTGTTGCTTCCCCATCTGCTTGTGTTTTCCATGTTACTTGCAAAAGAAAGGCATATATTGCGGTGTGCTTCCACACAGGTTGCACACAAATATGATTGCAGAAAATGAGGACATAGTGTTAGACTTAATTCCAGCATCAAGCTCGTTTATGGAACTGTTTCAGTTTTGTGTTTCCAAATTCCTACATTCATTTCCAAGCTTTTCTGCTTTTTCTTGACAGCATTATATGTAACCACACGATTAAGTTTTCCTTGAGAGGTGAACACGGAGGTGATCACTTTGTGGCTACCCTCGGGCAGCCTTTTTAAACAGTCCTTTGCTGTGAAGCAAAAGAGCAAAATCATATTTATATGCTGCTGGGCCCTCATCCATGGCACTTTGTGTGTGCGGTTGTATTTATGCCACGCAAACAATCCTTACTGAAGTGCTCTG